TGGACGGAAATTTCCAATTATGTAAACCTGAATGGGGCTTATTTTTCTCAGCTAAGTTATGATCATAAGAGATGCCTCAATCTAGAAACTGGGGCTGGATAATAATTACCATTTCTCGTGAAAGTGTAAAAAAGCTACTGGTAAGCCTGAATTTGTAGTAAATGTTATTTTAGCATTTATCACACTGCATTATACCTTCTTATTTAATTGTGTCTGTACCTTATTCTGTGTTGTCCTGCTCATCCTTGGCCCACAGTGGCCTAGAATTGTGTGTAAAAAAATAAAAAGCACACAGGAAAGTAGGGGCTCAGTAGGTGCTTGTTGACACAATTAAGGATTTAACAACCATGTGCCAATTTAAAATTTTTTAATCTGTGATTCAGCTACAGTTGATCAGGAACACATTATTGGAAAGTACCATTTTTCAAAGAAACGTTCATCAAAGTGGTATGGAACGCCTAACCTCACCTCTCTCTGTTTTTGACTTCACTAACTATGTGACCTTGGGTAGATGACTTCTGGAGGACTTGACATCTTCATCTTAAATAGGAAATCAAGATGATATCTACTTCACAAAGATGTGAATTTTAAATGAGATCATTTAGATTGAGAGCAGCACACATATACACCTCCTAATTTAGGCCAGAACCATGGGCTAAATTTAGTAACAAGACTTTTAACAGGGACACTTGTAAGGTCCTACAGTTTGATCTCTATAACCAACTGCATGAGCACAGAACAGAGGAAGTGTAGCTTAGCAGCTAAAAAGATTGAGTATTTTGCCTCTAGCAAGCTTAATGTGAATCAGTAATATGGTGTGACTGCTATTTACTAACAACACTCAGCAATTATCGATTATCCACCATGTAATGGAAGTTTTAAATTCTATTAATAAAAGTACCCAAAACAGAATTGCCCAAAGTGAGTTCTGCAGAGAATCACTTGATGCTATTAGTTATATTATGTGGGGGAAAAGGGGCTGGTTTGAGAAATGGTGGATTAGATTATTCAGCCTCTCCCCTGTAGGATTTCTTTGGCCTTGAGTTATTGTGCATTTGCATCTCCAAGAGGGGGCTTTAGCTGACAGCGCTTTGGTAACAGATGGAATAGGGCTGGTGGTAGTTCTGCTTGTTTCTGGGCCCATCAGACTGCACCTGGACCACTCTCAGCCTGGGCACCACTCTTTGTCAAAGTGTAGACCACTGGGTGGGTATTCAGAGGACAGCAGCCAGGATGGGGAGGGAAGGTGTGGTGATTGCAAGGGCAGGGGACTCACAGAGGAAGTGGGGCTATCTAGCATGGGGTTGCAGGAGGAGATTAGGTGGGGTAGAGGTGAGGGTGGGGGGAGGTTGAAAATGCCTGTATTCCAATATCTGAAGTGTGGGAAAGGGACTTTACTGTTCTGTCAAGGGGCAGGATGAGAACCAGTGGGTAAAAGTGGCTGGAAAACATTTTGGACCCAACCCAAAGTAGAATTTTCTTTGAAGATGGCTTTATTTTACTTACTGACTCTGTGTTCTTGGAAGGCATAGTTTTTGGGTGGTGTATGAGGAGGTATTGAAAAGTGTTCTTTAAAATCCCATCCAACCCTGAGTCTGTGAATTTGTGATTATTTTATTTTGTTTGGCAAAATTTATGTCTTCAGCCTTTCGTTTTTTCAGCCTTGTGCTAATTTCTGTGGATAATTAGATAAGACATTGATAATACGTGGTTTGTGTAAATTTGTTAATTGAATGACAAGAGTAACACACGAGACAGTTGTTAGCAAACTAAGACAAAATGTAAACAAAAGGCAAAATTTTGACAATCTTTGACAGTACCACAGATATTCTAGAAGGGGAAGACTGGAGAATTATATAAACTGGGGTTTGAAGGATTAATGAGATTTGGACGGCAGAAAGGAGAGCAGAAGCATTGCAGATCAACAGAAGCCCAGGCGTGCAGGCAAGAGACATAGAAGGCTTTTGAGGAGCAGTGTGGCTAAATCTGTAATTAAGAAAGATCCACCAGGCTTCCCTGGTGGCGCAGCGGTTGAGAGTCCGCCTCCCGATGCAGGGCACACAGGTTCGTGCCCCGGTCCGGGAATATCGCACATGCCGCGGAGCGGCTGGGCCCGTGAGCCATGGCCGCTGAGCCTGCGCGTCTGGAG